TCCGTTTAACTGACGGCTGGTGTTGCGCGACGAGCCGTCCTTGTGCCGCTCCAACTGGCCCTACTTGGCACGAGCTCGCAAGCTCCCAGCTCTGTGTGACCTGGCTGACATGGCCGGACTCTGTGGCGTCGCTGTACTGGGCCCGAACCGGTGACCCGACCTAGTCACATGACTCCACCTCACGGCATCGTCTTGTGATCGACGTCCACAGTTTGTAGTGCCTCATCTTAATTGCCCGCCGTGACCCTTGAATCCACCTCTGGCCCATGGTCGCACTTTGGGGTTTGCTGGGTGATCTGGCCTGTACCCGCGCCACACTCCGTCATCAAGCCCTGTGGCCCCACCTATTGCCATGGCCCCAGCCATGATCCCCGTCTGTGACCACCTCGTGTACAGTGCGACCCCAATGGGTCTGGAAAGGACCCGGTGCCCTATCTCCATGAAGCCGGTTCGGGACCTTGCTTTGTGGGCGCCCCCCCCCCCCCCCCACGACCTCGTCCCCTTACGATTTTGTGAACACGGTCCATAGCCCCTTTGTGAATGGGCTTCGTATCGGTATGTGGTGGCCTGCTTCACCTGATTATGATCCTACCTCGTCATCTCACATCGTGATCGCTCTTCACGACCTCACGTCATGATGACACTCTGCATGGTGGCCTGCGTCACCTGATTATGATCCTACCTCGTCATCTCACATCGTGATTGTTCTTCACGACCTCACGTCATGATCGCACTCCGCAGTCCCTTTCCGTGACCTCACTTCGTGGTCCCACGGCACGACCCTTCGCCGTGGCCCGCTGGTGGCCCGACTTCGCGACGGTCGTGAGTCCAGTGGCGACCCGGCGCCGTCACGACCCGCCGAAGTCCACATGAGCCAGCGGCACGCGTGACCCTCCGCTCACGGGCCCGACAGCGGCGGCCGGCGCGGGCATGTCCGCGGCAAGGGGTCGGGCCTGGGCTCAGCCCGGCCCCGGCAGACCTTCTGGGTCATGAGCAATGTCCGGGTCAGGAGGGCACAAAGATCCCGCCGACGTGCGGTGAAATGGGCTGAGGCGCGGCATCAGTCGATCGCAGCGGCCTCTGGTGTCAGCAGCACACAGGCGTCTGGCGTCAGGCTCAGGTCTTCCGCGATAGTCCGCAGTCGGATGTCATTTACTTGAGCGCGGAAGCAATTTTATTTACATTCGGACAGGCGCGAAGTTACCTGCTTTTGAGCTTTAATGCAACTGTGGGCGTTGAGTGGATCCAACCAGATTACAGCCGTAATGTGCTGCCAATGATTCGGAAAATTTATTCTGCTTGAATGCGTGATGAATCTGGTGATTCACAGAGAGCCACAGCCGGGATTATCTAGAAGGAAGAGGGAGCGGAGCTCAGTGAGAAGGAATAACACTGATTGGCTACTTTTTGTCAGCAGTCATCTGTAGCAAAACGGTTAGGCAAATACGAGCTCGGAAAGGCATGCCCCCGCCCGTTCTAAGGGTGCGCCTATGATTTCACGATAATGTGTGTTTTCGTTTTCATCAAGATATCTGCAGATCTATAAAGAAGTCGTTGCTAGTTAAGAAGTGAACATTTTCCTCTGTCATTTCGTGTACTTTTCACAATATATTCGTAGACATATTCCTCGCTACTGATGAGATCGCCTTCCACGCATTCACCTGACCTGTAGCTTTTGCATCCCCCCCGTTGACGCCGCCTCCCCTCGCTGAGTGACGTGGGTTGTCGCCCTCCCCCCCCCCCCGCCGCGGTCAAGGTCGTCCAAGGCCATTGCTGAAGAGCATCGGTCGCCGCTGGCGCTGTTGTGGCGTGCGGCCGCGCCGGCTGGACGGCAGGGGTCGATACACCGGGCGCGAGCTCTTGAGTATCGAACCGCGAGAAGGCCAAACAAGTGCGCCCGTCCACAAGTGCTGCGGCCGGCCGCGAGCCCCGGCGCAGGGAGAGACATCCGTCGCTGGCGGGGCATCCGCGGCAGCCAAGGCGGAGACATGCCGGCTTGATAGCTTGGAGAAGCCGGTTTGATCCGAGATTCCCGTCGATTAATTGTTTTCCGCAGGCTTCCATTTCTTTCCACGAGTGGTACGATCATATGTGGTTTGCACAGGGACTGGTCGAGCACACTCAGTTGATTGAAAAAGCTTTGCAGATGAACTTGTTTGGAAAGGGGCTTAACAATGCCAATGCCTGCAGTTCACCATCCACCGATTATGAACTAAAGGACAAGCCTAACGTCATGATCTTCTTCCACACCCGATCGATTCTCACGAGGCTTGCTGCGCCATCCGGTTCTCCCAAATCTCCCTGCAGTGTTCTCACCCCTACCTAGGTCCAGATCTGCTGTGGAGACCCCGATCAGACCTAGGGCGTATTGGCTGGGCACCAATAATGCTCTAGTCCACGGGAAGACATCTGGAATCTTTGCCGGACGTGTTGCCGGCCGACACATCCAACGGCGTTCCGCGTGTCAGCCGAGACCTCGCAACCGATCCAGCCGGGACCCCGCAACTGAGCCAGCCGGGACTCCCCAACCGAGCCAGTGTGGAACCCGCCACCGGAGCCAGTGTGGAGCCCACCGCCGAAGCCAGCGTGGAGCCCGCCGCCGGAGCCACTGTGGAGCCCGCCGCAGGAGCCAGTGTGGAGCCTGCCACCGGAGCCACTGTGGAGCCCGCCACCGGAGCCAGTGTGGAGCCCGCCGCCGGATCCACTGTGGAGCCCGCCGCAGGAGCCAGTGTGGAGCCTGCCACCGGAGCCACTGTGGAGCCCGCCACCGGAGCCAGTGTGGAGCATGCCACCGGAGCCCACCGCCGGAGCCACTGTGGAGCCCGCCACCGGAGCCAGTGTGGAGTCTGCCACCGGAGCAAGTGTGGAGTCCGCCGCCGGAGCCACTGTGGAGCCCACCGCCGGAGCCAGTGTGGAGCCCGCCGCAGGAGCCAGTGTGGAGTCTGCCACCGGAGCCACTGTGGAGCCCACCGCCGGAGCCACTGTGGAGCCCGCCACCGGAGCCACTGTGGAGCCCACCGCCGGAGCCACTGTGGAGCCCGCCACCGGAGCCAGTGTGGAGCCTGCCATCGGAGCCACTGTGGAGCCCACCGCCGGAGCCACTGTGGAGCCCGCCGTCGGAGCCAGTGTGGGGCCTGCCACCGGAGCCACTGTGGAGCCCACCGCCGGAGCCACTGTGGAGCCCGCCGCCGGAGCCAGTGTGGAGCCTGCCACCGGAGCCAGTGTGGAGCCCGCCACTGGTGCCACTGTGGGACCCGCCACTGGAGCCGGTCGGGCCGTCCGGTGCCGTCTGTCGCTCGCCCCAGGGTCCGCCACTCTCTCGCGCCCGCGTTGCCCGTCTGCCGCCGGTTACGACGTGATCGCATGTGGGCAGCAGCGATTAGAGCGGCGCCGGCGGAGCGGAGGTGGCGTGATGTGGCCTCGGGTCGCCCGCCAGCTGACCCGGCCGGAAGTGGTGCCTTCCGGCGGCCGGCGGCCCGGACACCCTGCCGGGTGTGATCTTCTGTTAGTTCTGACTGCACAGCTGCAGCCTGCGGGCTGAGTACCTGGGGATGGTGGCCGGTCTTCAGCTCCGCCTCTGAGCGTGCATAAAGTTTTGTGGAGTACTGAGGTACTGAAGTGCTGCTGGCACGATGCTGGTATCGTGCCATGTAAAGCTATGATGTAAAGCATCGAGCCAATCTGTGAAGCTGGAAGGGCTGTAGCAGGGGGATTACACGGGGACTACGTGGGGACTACACTGATCATGTTGGGATCTAAAGGGAAAGTTCAAGTGTGCTTCTCGATGTGGAGCACTCAAAGCATATAAAATGGTATTTATTACGCAGTTGGTTGAGATATCAACTGTCTGATCGATCAGATGCAAAGAGCTTGGCCACCTAACTGACTAATAGATCAATCTGATCGATTCGAGAAGAGCTGAGTGAACCAGAAGATCGCATTGCCATAAAAGATGCCAACCGTTGTGCGCGCTACGAGAATGAGCCCTGAAAAATCTCTAGACCTCCTAAATATTATGATGTAACAGCTAGTAACAATCGCTAAAGCTCCTAAGCCAGTACTTGAAGTAGAGATGTTACTCGGACACATATCGATTCCTTCAAAGCTTTATATGATGCCGATATCTGTTAACACATTCTTTGCCATGAAAATGAAATGGCTTGGCCAGGACGTACTAAAAATGTTAACGAAATACGTGCCGTGAGATCACGCACTTATGCTTTATTATGAAACTCAAATATATTCAACAGTACTGGGCACTGGCTATGAGCATCGAACGTCAGCTGCGTGATAATGATGTAAGAATTGGCGGTAAGGTGATCTGATGTGGTACGTAACACCCTTTATCAGCACAGATGTCTCCCTGGCATCTGTACTAATGTCTCCCAGAGGAGGGAACCACGCGTTCATGCTCCCACACAATTGGCATGGATCGATAAGCAAGTGAGGTGGGATTTACTTCTGCGACTGGAGTTTCCGGTATGCAGCAACCGTAGGGCCGGGAGTGTTTTTGCCGCCTAGGAAAAACGCTGACCGTAAGGGCGTTTACTGGTTTTTGCCCGTATCGTGCAGCCCCAGAGTGGCAAGGCACTCGGGCGGCAGGCACGCACCAGGAATAGCGTGGAACAGGTTTTTGCGCGGCGTTCGCAATAAATACGACTAGGTGATTTGTATATTGTGAGGTTAGTAAGTTGTCACAGGGAGTTGATGGCTAAGTGTCTCCTCGTTTCCGAAAAAAAGATTCGTCCAAGATCAGTTGCATTAATGCATCTATTCATAGGATAATTAAAATAATCGCAGGTGCTAGCGCCATCCACCCGAATACCCCACTCATGCCAAGTGTACATATTTTTCTCGGCATCACCCTCCAAAGCTAATAAAGTGAAATGAAAATGCCACATATTCTATTCGTTCACCGAGTAATGCCCATATAACATGAGCTGCGACGGTACTTTGGGTGTCGTAATTTCGTCAAGACTCACCTCGACTGTATTTTTCAGGGTGTCCTTCGGAAGCAGTAAGGGCTCCATGGTGGAGACGCTGATATACGACTACGAGCCAGTGCACACTCTGCGGGAGGAGGAACCGTTCCACTGGCCAGCCCGCCGGCCCGGCTCGCGTCACTCCTGCACCTTCACCACTTCCACGCCCGTCTCCACCCTGAAGCGGTGAGCAACATATCCCAGCTACTGCTCTCACGCGGTAAGCAGCGAATCCAAGCCTTCGCCTTTATACGGTGAGAAAGGTATCCCAACCTCCACTCTTACACGGTGGGCGGAGGCCTCAATCTGTACCCTGACGCGGTGAGCGGAGACCCCAGCCTCCACCTCAGCACGGTGAGTGGGGATACCGATCTCCGCCCTTACACGGTGAGCGGAGACCCCAATCTCCGCCTTGACAGGGTGAGGGGAGACCCCAATCTCCGCCTTGACACGGTGAGCCAAGACCCCAATCTCCGCCTTGACACGGTGAGCGGAGACCCCAATCTCCACCTTGACACGGTGAGCCGAGACCCAATATCCGCCTTGACGCGGTGAGCCGAGACCCAATCTCCGCCTTGACACGGTGAGCGGAGACCCCGATCTCCGCCTTGACACGGTGAGCCGAGACCCAATCTCCGCCTTGACGCGGTGAGCCGAGACCCAATCTCCGCCTTGACACGGTGAGCCGAGACCCCAATCTCCGCCTTGACACGGTGAGCCGAGACCCAATCTCCGCCCTGACACGGTGGGCGGAGACCCTAATCTCTGCCCTGACACGGTGAGCCGAGACCCTAATCTCCGCCCTGACATGGTGAGCCGAGACTCCAATCTCCGCACTGTCACGGTGAGCGGAGACCCCAATCTCCGCCTTGACACGGTGAGCCGAGGCCCAATCTCCGCCTTGACGCGGTGAGCGGAGACCCCAATCTCCGCCTTGACACGGTGAGCCGAGACCCAGTCTCCGCCTTGACACGATGAGCCGAGGCCCAAGCTCCGCCCTGTCACGGTGAGCGGAGACCCCAATCTCCGTCTCGGTCCGGCGAGAGTTGATGCAGCATGCGGTGCATCCAACCGCAGCCAAGCTTAAAAGCTTGTGTGTCATCACGCGGGTCTCTCTTCGTCACAACTTTCACGTGCGCTCACCAGCATCCAGCCAGCCGCCCTTCTCGGTACGGCCCGTTGAGGTTTGGATGCCGCCAACCGTGTCACATTTAGCAGCAACGATCGAACAAAACGGATTGGTCACAAAGCTTTTACCGATCCGTTGTTTGATTTCGATCTCATAATGCCGTCCATTAGGCAGACCGCTTTATGTCGCGGATGGTAATTGGAAAGCGCGTGAGGGCGGTTATGTCAGTCACCTGGTGTGTCTGATGAAACACGTTTGTTCAGCTGATGCTGAGGATATTAGCATTACAAGTTCGATCAGAGTATCTGCCCGCTTCCATCTCCATGGCAAATTCGGTTGATAGTGAGAAATTGAGCAGCTCTGGTAACATGGGTTGGAATAATTGTTCGGACTATCGCTCTAGTCTGGTGTCTTAGCACGTACGCAACGTTTTGGATATGCCCAAAGTCACTATGCCGAGTGAACGACCCTCAGCGTACCAGGAGGTGCTGGCTAAACGACGTTATAATGTTAACTACAGTTATGCTGGCGATCAGCACATTACGTACATACCAGGAGCTGGAGACCTTGCCTCTAGTATCTAGACTAGGCAGTGCCACCGACTTTCAGCCATGTACACGTGACAGCCCGGATTCTCTCTTTTCAACTGCTGCGATTGGAACTAGGGTCTTCTGACTACACGTCCAATTCTCCACTGACCGAACTAGCTGGGAAGGACACGTTTATCCTTCACGGTTGGCTCCGGTGAAGCTCAGTCCTGGCACCCTGTTGGCCGGTTAGCCCAGTAAGTTCATTTTAAGACCCTCCCCGTCACCAGGGTGACCATAACCCGACTGACCCGTGTCCCGTCGCCGACGCCGGATGTGTGACGTCGGTGGCCCGGCGCTGGACAGAAGCCCGCTGTCTGTCCGACGTCGAGCAGAGGCCCGCTGTCTCCCTGGCGTCGGACAGAGGCCCGCTGTCTGCCGCCGGCCGGTCCCGCCGGCGGCCACTGATGTTTCAGCGGCCAGTTGACTCGCCCCCCCCCCCCCCCCTCCCCCGGCATACCGGCACGGCGCCGGCCTCGGCCCGCGGGTCGCACGCATCCCTGCCGGTGACGAGACCTCGCCCGGCTTCGGCGGACACTATCCGGTGGTGGTCCGCTGGTGGTCCTCTGGTGGTCCGCTGGTGGTCTGCTGGTATTCTGCTGGTGGTCAGCTGGTGATCCGCTGGTGGTCCTCTGGTGGTCCGCTGGTGGTCCTCTGGCGGTCCGCTGGTGGTCCTCTGGTGGTCAGCTGGTGATTCTCTGTTGGTCCGCTGGTGGTCCTCTGGTGGTCCGCTGGTGGTCCTCTGGCGGTCCGCTGGTGGCCCGGTGGTGGTCCTCTGGCGGTCCGCTGGTGGTCCTCTGGCGGTCCGCTGGTGGTCTTCTGGCGGTCCTCTGGTGGTCCGCTGGTGGTCCTCTGGCGGTCCGCTGGTGGTCCTCTGGTGGTCCGCTGGTGGTCCTCTGGCGATCCGCTGGTGGCCCGGTGGTGGTCCTCTGGCGGTCCGCTGGTGGTCCTCTGGTGGTCAGCTGGTGTTTCTCTGTTGGTCCGCTGGTGGTCCTCTGGTGGTCCGCTGGTGGTCCTCTGGCGTTCCGCTGGTGGCCCGGTGGTGGTCCTCTGGCGGTCCGCTGGTGGTCTTCTGGCGGTCCTCTGGTGGTTCGCTGGTGGTCCTCTGGCGGTCCGCTGGTGGTCCTCTGGTGGTCCGCTGGTGGTCCTCTGGCGCTCCGCTGGTGGCCCGGTGGTGGTCCTCTGGCGGTCCGCTGGTGGTCCTCTGGTGGTCAGCTGGTGATTCTCTGTTGGTCCGCTGGTGGTCCTCTGGTGGTTCGCTGGTGGTCCTCTGGCGATCCGCTGGTGGCCCGGTGGTGGTCCTCTGGCGGTCCGCTGGTGGTCTTCTGGCGGTCCTCTGGTGGTTCGCTGGTGGTCCTCTGGCGGTCCGCTGGTGGCCCGGTGGTGGTCAAGCGGCCCAGGCACGCTGCAGGCCTTGCAGCACACTGCGGCTGCGGCGGTCCGTCGCATCGTTGTGGGCGTTAGCGAGTGGATATGGACAAGAAAACCCCTAAAGTGTGCGATGGCCTGACATTTAATTATCGGCATCGCTATCATTGCTGTTGTGGTCTCACATGGTCTAGACCAACTTGATAGTTCACACCCTGACGTTGCAATTTTATTGTCCTCTGTTCTCTTCCCGAAATAATGACCTCCAACGTCATGGAAAAGCCAAGACACTTGCCGGCCAATAAGGAGTCAGTCAGACAGAAAACACTCACCAAAACGCCACCAGATTACCATAACGGCACGGTGACCCGGCGACCGGGCCGGCTGGCTCGGTAATCGGATGGACTGATGGGACTAGTCGGCTGCAGCACCCGGACCCGCCGCGCCGGCGCGGGCGGCGCTGGGGTCAGCTGCAGGCCCGACCCCGCCAGAGGTTACCGGGCAGCCGGAAACGGGCTGGCGGGCGGCGGTGGCCGATCTGACAGGCGGCGTCAGCTGGTACGGCGATCGACCGGGGCTGGGGATCGCAGAAGGCCCAGTGGGGGACCTGCGGCTACCGTGTGATCTCCGCCTGCCTCGCCCATCGAGTTTCGTCACCCGCGTCACAAGATATCTACGCAGCAAGGATAGACAGGGTTGAGGGGAGGCACCTTGATGTCTCAGCTGGTTGATCTGTCAAAAGCCTGCGAGCCCCCTCTCAACAGCCCTCTCAGACTCAGAGGGGCCCCTCAAGTCATTCGGAACCTACGATTTAAGGCCCGACTTAAGCATCCGCAAGGCTCGAAAGGCCAACCGGAGGTCGCATTTATGCGCCCTGGCCCACAGGGCCGGCATTCCAATGTCATTCATATGGCCCTGCGCGCTGGTCAGGGTCCCCTGAGTCACTAACGACCTATAGATCTGTCAGCCGTTACTAGCACCGCACAGTTGGTCTGATGTCAGCATGGGCCTGAGGACCGACTTCCCGTGCAGCTACAAAACCGGAGCCAGTGATTTACACTCATCGGGGCCCCTGTATCTGTCAAGGGCCCACAGTGCATACTAGGGGATTCTGTGTTAGCAAGGGAGCCCCACGTCGACCATGCTCGTAGACCCAAAGAGGGGCCCGGGCGGCCCACCGGAACCGACGACCAATGGGCCGGTTGGAGGGCATGAAGGTCCGAAGGGCTGGCTGTAGGCCACATAAAGAATCGCGAGGTCGTGACCGGAAACATCAGTCATGAGGTTCTTTTTTACCGCTGGAGGAACCCTGAGATATTGCGGGTGTCTAAGCCGACCGGAGACAACCAACACCGAACAGTTGGCTTTCTGTCAATCCGAACCCTCGGAGCAATCTGTCAGCCATTTCCCAAGCAGGAGCAAGACCAGGGCCCGTGATTTGCAATGTTCGGGGTTCCTGACACAATGAGGGGCACCTGTGCCGGTCAGGGGCCCCAGTGCCTAACAGGGGTCCTTTGGCGGCAAGGGGCCACGAGTCGGCTGGGAACCGTGTTTGAAAGGGGTCGAAGAGGGGCCCAGGGGTCTCTAATGTCAGTTAGAGAACCTCTTGGACCGATTGAGCACTCTTGAGACAATGCGTTCCTCTATTTAGGTCAAAGATAACCCACACCGAACAGTCGGCTCCGTATCGGTCTGAGCTCTGGGGGCTTATTTTCCAAGAAGAGACAAGACGGGACCCGCGATTTACACTGATCGGGGCCCCGCAATAATGCAGGGCTCCTGTATCGGTCAGGGACCCGCAGTGCATAACAGGGTGTCTGGTGCCAACGAGGGCCCTTGGGTCGGTCAGAGGAACACTTGCCCAATAGGGACGAGGAAGGGAGCCCGGATGATAGATAATCTCTTGGGTTGGTCGTCGCCCTCTTACGATGAAAGGAAACCTGAGAACCTATGATGGTTGTCATATTGAGACGATGGAAGGTTCCTGTGCCCGTCAAGGCCGCCACAAACGAACGGTGAGCACTCCAACCCAGTTCCAGCTTTGGAGCTTATGTGACAATTATTGAACCACCGACGGCGATCAGGCATGCTGCGTCAATGAG